CCACGGCAGTTAGTTCCATGATGGAAAGGCTGTGAATTGACGGATTAGGCTCGTGCTACATCTATCAATGTATTTTATAGAGCATGTGGTCATTAAGTCATACGAGCCACTACAAGATCCTACGCGATGAAACCTCACGATAGCTGAAATAAGAAGGCCATTCCGGAACGTTTATTGGCCGACCAACACCTTGACCCTGACCTTGGCACGACTAATCAGCAGAGAATATTTTAGTTACAGCGCCTAATACATTCGTTCACGAAGAGAAAGCAAATGGGAGTTGTTTAAGACAAATCAGATAAGTAACAAAGGTTAAAAATCAAAAATTGGTTGCTCAACTAACAATAGCCTCACAACTAAAATTTTAGCAGCAAGGCATAAAACTCTCTAAGCGGAAAACCATAATTTACTTTAAAGCTAATATGCAATGTGCGAATTTCTGATATGCGATCACATTCGAGTTAAGGATCGATTTTAGCCTCAATAAAACTATTTTTGGGTAATGTCGCTAATTTTGATTCAAGAGTGAATGAAATTGTTTAAAGAGGGGAAAAATCTAATAAAAGGCGGCCTGTATCAGATCGCATAAAAGCCTACCGACTAACGACTGGAAAAGAAGGCGACATTTATGGTAAAAAAAGTTATTTCGTTTTGCCAGTCATTTCAGTTTTGGTGACAGTAGGGTTCGGTTTATTCCCTCTGATTTGTAAGGCAAGAAAAGGCTTTAATGCACAAGATTGTAACCGAATTTGCTCAGTGAATTGTAGCAGCAAAGACTTTTAGTCACAAAAAAAATATAAGGTGTTGGTGTTTACTTGACCTAAGTCCCCTGGCAGCAAAGCCACTGTGGTGCTCAGCCATTTTACCTTCGCCGAGTGGGCTAGCCTACGAGCCATGAGAGTAGCTAAATCCCCTTCGCATGTAGAATATACATTGGGCTACAGTGTTATATTTTTCCTTTCTCTGGAAAAGCCTTGGGGAGCTACAACACAACAGTTGGTTGGGAAGTGTGGCCACGGCTTACAGAAGAGCTGGGAGAGCTACTGGCATGGTACTGAGGCCAGGTTGCCTGATGAGGGTAACACTGACGAAGCCTCTAGTTAAGGGGTTATCAACCCAAAGCACTAACAAATAGTCGGCACACCACACGGATGATTTGGCGCCTAGTATTGTGTGACAAGCAGGTCTTGAAAATTTATATCGTGATATACCGGCTGATTAACTCTTGGTCTCGACAAAGGGTCACCATAGACCTACATCAATGCACCCCTGCCAAATGGGCTGCCCTTGGGCCATGTCGATTGTTCCTAACCCCACTTTTTGTCAAATATGTGTACCCTACCCAAGTATTGCTTATTTTTCGTCTTCAGTCAAGTCCCGGGAGGCTAAAATACATGCATTTGCCAAAGCATATTTGCAGGGTATTACCTTACAGTTATAGAAAATTTTTGATTTGTGTCGTTATGTTAGTTGTTACTAGATAGGCGACACGGGTTCCCTGATAGACTATCCCCAGTTTTAAACAGATAAACAGATATAAATATGGGGTGAGTGTAGATGGTGCTGTAGTGCCGAAATTATGTTCCTAGAAGTGCTTTGGACTACTGAGGTACTTGAGACTCCGTCGAGTGTACTTTCCCTCTATGGTATGTTCTTCTGGCCATAGCAGTAATCACTAACTCTTCTTTACGCTGGTGGCTCACGCCTACCCACAGTTCTTTGGTTTGCTACGGTCTCAATACAGACCCAAAGCTCTACATCTAAAAGTATTTTACTTCATTTAGTAAACAATAAAACAAGTGGACTCCATATTTAGACATCATGACTACGGTTGTTGAGAGAACTTGTTTAGCTTTTTGCTGGTTTAGTTACATCAACACGCCTTATTGCTAAAGCTTTTTGATGCTCTCATGTGATTGTAGGTAGAATACGCTATTTGATGTCGCCCTATAATTCAAATAGTAATTTAGAGGTTTACTTATGGTACTTGTGGGGGCGCTTTAAGAGAAACTGCCAGGTGTTATGAAGTCCTATGTTGACTCTCTGTCACGATTGGAGGAAATTGCCCGCAGGAATGCCGAAAAGCGTATTGTGGAGGCATTCCAGGTATTACTACGATTTAGTAACATTCTTATGCTTTAACATGGTTACCTGGACTATTTACGCCTTCGACTATTTCCGGTAGAAATAACGTTTCCTGGTCTTTCCGGACTCTATTGCCGGTCGCGTACTTTATTTTATAGCTTTTAAGTATGAACTCTCGTATTTTATAAAGACTCAATGAAAATACGATTGCTGCTTTTGTCATCTTTACCCATATCTACTTACTATTGACTCGAATAATGGTGATTGCCCAATAACACTTGCTATTAATCACTTTTGTAAATTAATTGGAGTCCTATCCCACATCTTGGTGGATTGGCTGTGGTTTCTTCAGATGGCACTTTATATCTATGATCGGACTTTAGAAATCGGAAAGTTTAGAAAACATCGATGTTATCCGCACGCGATTCTTGAGTCACAAGGTAAGTCCTAGTTTTTTTGGAATTTTTTAGACTGCTACAGAAGCCCAACTGAAAATGGCTGTACATGGTCAACTTGATAGCATTCAAAATGGTCTTGACAAGCTAGAGTCAGCTCTTGGAATCTCCAAAGCCTGTGCGGGACGGTAGGGCTCTTCATTACACTCTCTTACCTTTTCTCGAATAGCATTTCCGAAATGGAGAATTCTTTGTCAACAATCAGCAATCTGCCGTCTTCATTAAGTCAATTGCATGTCATATCCACCAAGCACAAACAGGTTTGCTCAAAATTTTCCCTGTCCAGTACTTTTCTAGCTCGTTGCTGCAATCGAAAACATGTCGTACTTAGTTAAAGTACCAGACGCCATGGTGGAAGCCAAGAAATATATAGAAAATGATAATCTTCTTGAAGCTCACAAACGGTTTGTATTTACTTCCTCATTGATTTTCACGGAAGTGTTTTACGTTAAGTAATTCACTTACATAAGCGATTTTATAGAATCCAGGAATTGGAAGGGATCAGGGACGAGATAATGTCTGATGTCTTCAAGCAAAACTCGAGTGCTGATCTTGATGTAGGTTCTTTTTAATGTAATCACTTTCTTTTCAGACCCTACGAACCTTCTTCAAAGGTTTGGATGAGCTTAATGCCGCTATTTTGGAGAAAATCAAACGCGTTGGTGCAACTCTAACTAGCGCGGTGGTCACTCAAAACGTTCTTTGTGTGAACTGTATCCGTATTATAGACAGGGAAGAGAGGTGGACTTTGCAAATTTTTTGCTTTCTAGTGCTTCCAGTCTCCACCTTGCTTATTTTTTTTGTCTGTGCATTTCAGGGCTGATATGATTTGGAAGAAACGCCAAGGCAAGGGTGGTTTTATGCCCGATGGCAGACCAAAGGAATGGAAAGCAAAATTTTTTGCGGAGTTGACTCGTATCATTCAAGACCGGTGTGTCCTTTCCCATTGTATGCATTTTGACCAAACCTAGAATTCATTTTCATTGTTGTTTCCTCTAATTGAAGTGTTCAAGGGTGCTCTGTGGATTCGGAGAACGAAAAAACTCGTTTGGTGCGTCACAACGAAGCGATTCGTCAGCATGCCTTGAGGGATTTGCGTATTGCTAAGGTTATTTCATTTTGAGGTTGACTATTAACGGTACTAATGACTTGGAATTTTTCGCCCAATAGCATTGAAAAGATTTAATGCGTCTCCTTTGTTCGCTTTAGAATATTTGTCCCGTATATTTTCCTCCGGACTATGAAATATTTGATAGATTCGTCGAAATATATCATGACGCTATTGGAATGCATGTATGTTTTGTTATCTTAGTTTGCTGCATAAAAAGAGAGAGCATTTCTTTCTCTTCAATTCTTGTGCCTGACAGACTGAAATGACAATCTGTTTTTTAGATAGAGAATTTGATAAATGAAGGTCTAAACGACACTGAAATCGTTCAACTTCTTGGGTGGATTAATGCATATCAGTAGGTGCTTGCCATCTGCTTAATATTATACTTGCATTGAGGTTTGAATACGCAGTTAATGTTTCCATTACAGCACTGAAGAATTTATGAAGCATCCTCTCTTCAATGTTGACTTTTCTCGCCTTAACATCAAGTATCCTCCTAATCTTCTACCCGAGGACAAGCTCATGAGTTTGCGGCAAGAGTTCGTCAATTTTTTGTCTATTGCGGTTGCCTACACTTCTGTGCTCCTCAGCTTAATGGTAGCCGTCTTTTTACCCGTTTTATTAGTGGTTTCCTTTGCACTGCGTGAAGTGTTTTAATAGACTAATACTTGTTTCTTCAATGAACTGTATAGGTGATCCTGTTTTTTTCTGATATTAGGTATGTGAAAAAGACTATTACCAAACTGAATGGCTGGTTAGTCAAGTCATTGGCCATTGATGTTGAGGTGCGTGTGTACTCACTATGGGATACATTCGTATTCTTCACCACACGAAATGTCTAAATGGCATCACTTTGCTACTCCACAGGATTGGAAACGCCTCACGAAGCCGGAGTTGAACGACGCCTCAAATTACTACACGCCTCTTTCCCTTATGGTTCTCTCTCCCGTCAACGAGCTTGTAGGTCTACTCGAAATAGCCTGATTATTTTTCCATCCAAACCTTTTACCCATCGGAGTGTTTTGCAGTGCATCTATGACAAAATCCTGAATTCCGTGCACTTATTTTGATGAGTTATTCGGATTTATGAGTTCGCTTTTAGGTGGGTGAGGGCAAGCTGCTTCACTTTCTTGGAAACGTTGTTCGCGAGAGTTTCCTAGTGCAGTGCACACAAGAGATCACTCGGTTCTCGAGGGATTATGAATGTGAGTCTCGTCTTGATGTGAGTTTTTTCTTCTATTACCGTCACTCAAGTTCTGCTTTTTTGTTGTGCAGCAAGCATTCGCAGTTACCGTAACCTCTATCTCAACGATCGTGCCCAATTCCCTTATTACATTGAGTATATTGTGAGTTGCTTACATGCAGATTTTTAATTTTAATTTTTATAACCACGCTAAGTGGTCCCCTTTCTTTGCATGTACCCTGAAGGTAAACAGAACTTTCAGGCTACGCATAATCAGGAAAAGCTACGCCTACGTTACCGTGGTTGTCTCATTGCAATCATGGGGCTTTGGAATATTTCGTTGCACACATGTACAAATGTGTCGTTATTAGTTGAATCAACCAAATTTACCACCTATCCTCTAGCATATTGAGTGATCTTCTTTATATCTCCCATAGCTGCGCAGTTCACACACCTCTACCTCCTTTATTTCATGCAGATCGATCCCTCTGCGTTACTTCTGTGTTCACTCCAAAGTGTCTGAACACGTCATCCTGACAGAAATAGGGGAATTCGTGTTCTATGAAATATTTCTAGCGTGGATGTAAATTCCGATACTTGTTGTTTCATAGCTGGCTAATGCCAACAATACCTTGACAATCGCGAATAGTTTCGCTGCAGTCATAAATCGCGAGGTGGAGAACGATGCTCATCTTAAAGGACGTCTCCTGCCCCAACTGGGCCGTCTCAAAGAGGAATATGGCAAGGTGGCCGCACTTTGGTATGCTGCTCTGCGTGAGGTTTATAATACCAAATTATTTAAAATGGCCTATCAATCGCCCACCAATAGACTTAGTTGTGATTTCACTTTATAGCTTAAATTGTGCAGAAGAAACGGTCTTTTTGGATTTGACTTCAGTGATCTCTGCAGTTCTTACCCGTGAATGGTAAGTGTTTTAACCCTTTTGCATGCACATGTCGCTGAATAAGCCTGAGCTGGCTTCTGCTGCTTTTGGTATAGGCTGAGCCCGGGTGATTTGACTGTGCAGTGCCTAACGGGTACACTTTTGGACTATAATGAGACATTGGTGCATGTGCATCAGACCTACTACCAGGACCTGATGCCTCGTTTGGCTACGCACCTCCTGATTGACTATTTGAGAACACTTTTGACTAGGTATGTCTCCCATTCTCCCCACTTAATTGGTTCTCTCCCTATCAAATTTGGTCTATCTCTTTTCCTCTAGAACGCTTAATTTCACCTCGGTTCATGAACGCCATACCGCGGGGGAAAAGCTCATTCAGTCAGCTGAAATCCTCAAAGCCTTTTTTGAAAACAAAATTCCTGTCTCACCAAAAGTAGGTGGCTCCTTTTGCTTTAAATAAATCTTATTAGACCCACGCGTTGTGTAAGCTTTTTGTTGGCATTGTAGATTTATGATGCGTACAATGCCATCGGGTTGATTGGCAGGTTCCTCACGAACGACGACCGCGGTATGCTTTCTTTGGATGTCGGGGTACGTTTTATCACAATCCTCGTTGCCTCTCTTATCTTTCCTTACATGGAATTACAAATGGGGCGCCCCTAATTAATCAGATGACCGACAAAAACATTTACGTCTAAGAAACTTGGGTCTAGTATCGGCGTTTTTACCTAACTGACCGTTTTTATTTCCTGACTGGAATTCCAAGATTGTGGCACTTATTTTAATTTTTCCTTAAAGCGACTACAACAAAGCTTCCCTGACGTCAGGACGGACCAAATTTACGCTATTTTGATGTTGCGTGGAGATGTACGCTCCAATGATGCACAGGAGGTGGGTCATTGTGATGTTTCAGCCAAAATTTCCAATTGTTTATCTTTCACTGCTCGTATTTCCTACTGCTTTTCAGCTGGCGATAAACGTAACACAAGGCGCGAAAGCCACGAACCCTACATCCGATATTTTTACGAAATTGGCTCTTGCAATGAGTAGATGATTTGTTTAACCGCTTCTTTTACTATGACCACCTAAATTCAACAAATCAAGAAACCTCTCTGATTATCGTTCTGCGGTTCCCTGATTGCTCGGGATCCGTTGTCGAATCTGCTCTTTGGTAGGCCTCGCTTGATTTGTCTATCACTTGGCGGCGGTGGGCACCATGTCTGAATAAAAGAATGCCTTCCTAGTGCACAAGACGCAAAGGCGGTTTGGGCTCAACATTACTTGGGGGTGTGGGCCTCGGGGGGCTCGGGTTTTCGGTGGTGCGAAGTGGGTCTCCACCAAGTTCGCAGTGTCTTGAGCCCGTGCGGGTTTGTGTAACCCAGTCTTGGGGTAGTCTAGGAAAGTGTGTACTTTACCTTTAGTTCGCAACGTGAATCCCCTAGCCTTTTTCCACTTGAAAGTTAATTCAGTGCAGAAGAAAATTGTAAAGGGTCGCCCTGAATATTGCCAACCATCCGTAGTTATAAGTCGTTTAAAGTAAAGCCCACCAACTTCTAGAAATCTGTAAATGATAGCTGTATAAATGTTCGCACAATGTTATTGGAAAATAGCATCCAAAGATGCCTTTAATGTTCTAAATGCTTTTATCCCGTGATGAGTGCACATTTCTCCCAAATGCTCTTTCAACATTGGTATTTTGAGGCATATTTGAATATGTTTCATAAGTTTGCTTATTTTGTTAAATCGAACTATTGTTTAAAGGCATTGAGGCATGGTCATTCTCGTATCGTAGCAACAAGAGTCACCATACTTACTAAAAATGACCACTCGTGCCGATAGTGGCAGGGTTCTTAATTCGGTTTGCAGTCGAGAAGGATGTCAAAAACTTAAGTTTAAAGTAGAGAAGATAATCGACAGCTGGCCTGTGCACCCCATAAACTGGTCACTGGCCGATAGATCTGATTTGGCTAAAAATGCGAGTCCAAGTCCAGTGTTCAAGGCGCATCCAAGTAAAGCGCAGTTAATCTTAAGAAATACGGATTTCAGAAGACGCAGTGAAACCTAAATTCCTAAAGGTCGTAGAGAATACATTGCACAGTCGCTTAGAAGAAACTGGGCTATTAAAAGCTGAGCCCTGCATAGAGAGGTTGTGTGTATGTCCCCAAAAAAATCATAACTAGTTAAGATTTTCCGTGAAGCATTAGATGCTATAATATCAAACTTTAAAACCTATCAACCGCTTCTATCTTTGATAAAAAAGGAGTACGAAAATGTTGTGCATAACTTTAGAGATATTGCCCGGCAGCCTAAACCTACTCAAGTATCATTGCGGACTAACCTTATATTTCGTAGGAAATGCTTTATTTGGTGACAGATGAGTATGAAAGAAGAATCGTTTTAAGCGTAACTAAGATAAATAAGGGTTTTTCATAATCTTTTAATCACGATGTTTGTAGAAATCAAAAGTTTGGAGGGGAGGATTGCCTCACTGGAAAACAAAATAACACGAATGAGGGAAGAGCAAAAAGGTAGCAGAGTTGCCGTAAGTCATAATTTTTCCATTCCTAATTTCGTGTAAATTTTTAAGGCTAAGAGAACTAATTCTTAAACATCCCTAGGTTACGTTAATTAGCCCTTAACGTCTCGTTTTTAAAAAAGATTTGTTTTGTTTTTAAAAGTGCATTAATTTTCGTTTCTGAATAATGATCCTTTAGTTTTACGGAAACTAAGTAAAATTAATGATGCAGCTACTTATATTATTTAATTGTAATCCATGGATAAGTTCTTCTCAATCGAGTATCTTTAATCTCAATTATAGCAAGAAAAGTTGCATGAAAAGCTGAAAAATCTCTCTGACTCACTGTTGCGTGAATCTGATGCCCGGAAATTAGCTGTTTTAGACTTAAATCACTTACGGACCGAGTACTCTGACCTCCTGGAGTATATCAAGGAACTTGATTATCAGAATCAGGAAGGCGGAGACCCCACTACCCTTAAAATTGCACTCGAGTAAGTATGAAATCTGAACAAGGTATGTGTGCTGCGTGCGCTGAAATGGAAGTAGTTGGCCTTGTAATTTCATCAAAATGAAATATGATTTTAAGGTGTTTCTACTATTTGGATTATTTAATTAATAAATTTATTTTAATTTACAGTCGAGCACAGGAAGCTCATACAAAGGCAGTGAGAAGAATAGTCTATTTAGAGACGGAATATTATGATGTCGTACCAAAAAGAGAATTTGACGATGTTCAGAGCCGTTTGAAACTTGCGAAATCTGAAGCTGAACGGTTGAAGGCTCGATGTCAAGACCTGGACTCCCAGCTAGTGTAAGCTTATATGTGTTGATGAGGTCAGGAATAAGGACGACAGCCACTGTAAGTATTGTCAACACGAAATGATTCAAATCTAAATTGCTTATTATTCCACCAATTGGAATCTTTTGAAATTCTAACTATATGGTGCACTTTAGTGAGAAGACAGAAGAGCTATTGGCAACAGTCAAAGAGAAGCGAGAACTGGCAGATATGTTTGCCACACTGCAGGATGTTTCAACACCACGGTACGTGTCAAATTTTGCCTTAAATTATTGACAAGTTTCAAGTTGTGTGTGCATTGGCAACTGCCACACTAGTAATCTCAGAATGAGAAGCATCCTGTTCAGTTACGATGCTACAAGCCAATCATCTCATTCGCCTATGATAGGCATAAATACTATAGCACACAGTTGAAAAACTACTCAGGAGAATAACATTTCTTTAAAATTTAAGCAAAACTTGAAAATAATTTAAACTTCTCGCTGCAATTTCCGGTCCCGAAACAATAAGTAAGGAATCAAATTTTTGAAGTAGTCATCGTTCATATCTATGGTTTAAAGCATACTGCCAGTCAAATCCCTCCTCCCCACCAAAAAACCTTAAAACCTTAGTTTACCAAAAAAAGTCGAAACAGTTTTCTTGATCAAAACGTGAAAGGTTAATCTCTCCTATTCCTTTGAAAACACAATTATTGTGGCTCTTACACGAGAACTTCATGTCTGAGTCAGAAACTTATAAGTTCATGTCAGAACTAGGTTCCGAAGGCAAAAAGGTGTATCATTTACATTAACCATGGCGAATAGTTTCCAAATGATCATGTGACCACAAACAATTCTGCCCACTCGACGGAACAACGTGCTCCGATTGTGGACAATATAGCTAAGCACTGTTTACAACAGAATGTATTTAATGCACGTTTGCCAGGTTTTTTGACTGGGCAAAGGCGCTTTTTGTCAAATGGTGGAAGAAAAGCTGGTTTTACATCAGTATAATATTTAATTGCCTGAAATACCTGTAATTGGCACCAAACGGGAAATTTTTTCATTGAGGAACTTAGTATAGTACCCCGAGACTTCCCTGAAAGCACAAGGGGACAGAGTACTCGGGACTACTGGAAGAACCCGGAGGATGTATAATGGCAGAGCCCATAAGTAGGCCGTCACCAAAGCCGAGAGTTAAGCAACCGCTTACTGCATTACATCATTTACCTCGTATAGCCCACAGGTCCTCTTAAAGTCGATTAACGCAATCGACGGGCTCAATGCCTGTGAGAAATGTCGTACTGATTGGTATAACTATGTTTTCATGAGAAAATGGTTCAATTTTTAATGAAATAGATAATTTTTATCAATACTAGTCGACATTTGACCAGAAAGGCCAGGTAAACTTGTTGTTCACAAGTAAAAATACCTTTTTATATTTCAGGCCTGAGTGGTCGAGGGTCGCCAGTTTAGTGCCTGGAGGTCACAGGCGCTGGCAACAGTTGACCACAGGCAAGACCTCGGGGGAGAAGTTGGTCATTCTAGCCACGGAATTGGCGGGTGAGGCAAATGTAGCTCCCCTAGCCAGATCGGATAGCCGGGAGTTGGAGGTGAGTGCGTCCATCGACACAACCACTGCTCGCTCTACCATGACAAAAGCGGGAATGGCTGCGACAGTGGGAGCAGCATTATCATCCACAGCCAGATCGGCTGAGTAAAACATTTGAATCCAATGAAAAGAGAAGCATTAATTGACAACTTCGACAACAGCAGTCAGTACGACATTTACAAGAAAAAAGTTGACGGAAAATGCACAGGCACGCTACGTGGTCACACACTACTTCACGCATTATTTTTCATCCCTTTGATTATGTGTGATTATAATTTTATATCGACTGAATAAAACCCAATTAATAAAATGAAATAACTTTGTGTCTGAAGTATTTAAAAATCCGTGATTGGCTTGAAGATAATAGAGGGTGATAACCAGGCCTACATAAGGGAACTCTTCCGATAAAAATAATGAATAATTGGTGTTCACTTTCCCCCAAATTAAGTAGCCTAGGACAAAGTAACCGTAATGTTATTTCGTTTAACGTTTTACTGCTTCTTCCGTTTTATGCGTTGCGTTTTGTTCCTCTCCGTTTGTCACAGTGTTAATTTGATGTTATAACAGTTAGAAGATAGCCCCGAGGCCTGTGCTTTGCCTTTTTTTCAGGAAACAACCAAGAAAGTCCCCAAGTTCTTGGAGGGATGTCTGCAAATGTCACCTCGTCTCTTCCCCAAACGCCATCTCTTGTCGCTCCTCGAGTACATATGGCTCGGCAGGCAGAAACAACTGGCTAATTATCTGGTACGTTTAGATTTATGAGTGATTAGGAAATCTTGAAGTCGTTATCGTGAGCTTTCCATCTCAGGCCCAAACATTTAGTCTGAGCAAAGCTAAATTGTTTAAAAATCGTATCACCTGGTTTTCGGGGGGGCATCATTAAATCTTCTACTCATTTTTGTCTCACTAGCCAGTTCGGATGATTGGAAAGTCTTATATCCAGTGCTAAACATCATCTGTTTGAGATGTTTTCTTTAAATAATGTTTATTGTTATTGTGCTGAATTTTATGCAAGATAACCCACACATCCCAAAACATCTAAAAACTAAACCAATTTTATCTCCCCAGAAAAGTCGTGGGACTGATGAGCATTTGAAGCCACCAAAATTCAATGACTTCCTCTGTGAATACATGAAAAAGATATTCGGAGTGAAGGGTATTCGTCGAGAGTGGTGCCTCTCCCTATACGTTGCAGGTGGTGTAATGACCGAATGTGAAGATATAGTACGCTTCCGAAAAGTCGTCGACAATGAGGTTAGTTGAGCGAATTTAACCTCCACGAACCACAGACTTTGCGTAATCCTGCACAATTCATTTTCGACTGAATCAGAGGCTTATAGTAACTTCAAGTCCAAAAGAATAAATGTAAGATTTCAAAAACTTAATATTTGTACTTGATGTGGCATAACTGAAAAAAAGTCCAAATATATGGGAGAATGTGACCATAAGTCCCCTCTAAAAACCGACGTATCTGGTGTATTTAGGTGGACGAGGCGTACCACTGGTACCTACACGCCCTCACTGGTCGGTTGTTCAGCCAGTTGCGTGAGATGGCATATGCCACTGCTATCGCCTTCGCGCTGTCCACGAAACTGGCGGGAGAGGAGGGAGAGACAGTGGGCACTGCTGCAACTGCGGCCACAGATGTAAATGAAGCTCCAAGTGAACCACCCGCACCTATCATGCCAAACACTGAGTGCCGACTGACCATTCACCAGCTTAGCATCGTTCTCGCCAAACTCCTACAGTGCGAACCTCAAAACTCTACGGTTCTGCGTCTCATTCAAGCCGCTGTTATATGCGAGGATGGCAGTAGCGAGGAGGAAGGCGAGCCGGCAGCAGCAACTGATATCGATATGGACATGATTGTCTCTCTAGAGGAGCTCTTCCATCAGGTATAGACTTGTAAGAGTACGCAGCTTTGATGCAGTAACTACTTTATTTGTACATTGCTTATGTGCTTTTGTGCAGGTGTCAGGTGAACCACTTCCACACTTTGCACAAATGCTTGTGAATCATCTTGAACAAGGACGAAAAACTATTATTGATCATATTATCAAGGAAATTCAAAGGCAAAAGTCAAAAGATATGTAAGTTATTTTTATTCTAGAGTCATACAATCACGAATTTCAGTCCTTGATTAGAACACCTGAGTAAACACGTCACTCCCCTCCTCTCTCATTAGAACCGCATCAATGGTGACACCAGCCGAGGTACTCGAGGCCATGAAAGTTGTGCAACCAGAATTTGAGTCGATTATCGACTCTTCGCCCAACTGCTTCTTCTTGCTAAAGCAGCAGCAGCAGGAAGCACCGGAGGATGGAAGAGGGGGTCCCCAGGGCGTCCTTAGGGACGAATTTGTGGTATGCGATCTAGATGAGACGAACGCCACCCCAGAGGAGCAAGCGTTAGCCTGGGCGCGTTGCACGTCTAGTAAAGAGGCCAAGAACTACCTCACCGCCACTGTCCACTGGATTTTCCAAACCGACAACATGCAGACTACAACGGCTGACAAAAACATTCCTCTTGATGTACTTGAACGCCGGCTTTATGGCGCCAATATCAAGCCAAACAACAGATTTACAGCAGTCAATTAGCGGTCCTGGCATCTAGACCATGGATAATCATGTTGTTATTTAATTAAGTAGCAAAACAAGTACCTTTTCTCAATCAAGCAAAACACTAAACACACTTGTTTTCTGATTTCAGCACAATGGTAGCTGGCGAGTGATTCGTTTGTTGATGACAAAAGTGCCTAAGCCTTTTCACACAATTCAATAATTCCTGACAATTAATTCACTCCTTTGCAACCTGTTTCCCATCAGAATGCCAAAACTCAAGGTCCGTAAAGGGTAACACTCTCATCCATTGCGATTACGCTTCTATGGGTGTAAAGAAGTGTGCTTCTAATCGCTAAGGAAACCTAATAAGACGAAACGAACGAACAGCTACGATAGCGGTTGGACGTAAAATGCGAGGTAGTTCAGCAAACTGAACATTCTGTTAGTCCACACTCGTGATGACACAGCCATGTAGTAAAACAGCGTATCATCACTTGACTCAAATGTACACTCAGTAAGCATGATCTCTGAATTTACTCAAGGTGTAACAAGCCTCTTATTCAAGATTTTTAAGAGGGTGCAAATTTGAACGCAAACTGGCTAGTTAATTAAACTACCCATGTTTACTACCACGACCGACCGTCCAAGAAGAGGCCACTGTTTTGCATGTTAGAGTTATATTTATTTGAATGACGTAAAAATGTACGAATATGTGTAACCAAATTTCGACGATGCACATTAATCAAAACAGGATCAATTCTAACATAAGTTGGGAATTAAAGTAAAAGTGATGCGTCTGCATATTGCCTTAGTTATAAATCTGCTGAGCGGGTACAAGTCGCGTCATAGGAACCACCTTGCGGAGGTTGTCACCGGCGAAGGGTAGAAAGACGGGTCGTGAAAATTTCGGCGGATGTTTCTTTACCGGCGCGAAGCCAATACGCTTCAGGCCTAGGTCGAAGATGCTATAGTACTTGCCAATGAAAACGTCCCCAAGAATCCACATTGGATGATTGGGAATGTCCATTCCCATAAACCCAAGAAGGCACATTTCTTGACCGAGCTGAGTCACCTAAAAGAGCAATAATATTTGAGATGGTACGAGTCACAGTCAGTAGGAGGATAGACGAACAGGTGCGAAGTACACACAGACCTTAAGAATGTAGTCGTCGTGAGCTAGTGTGAAGTTCACAGATTCAATGGTGAAGGTGATGGGAGGCAGAGAGGGGACCGAGTCACAGAAAACGAAGTAAGTACCCCCAGGAAGCGGCCGGGCCTTTGTGGCTTCGGCCAGGCGACGAATCGACTCGGTAGGACCGACAATTAGCGAGGTGCCAGTGTCGGCGATCGCGTCGCAGCCACCTTCACACAAAGCCTCACCAACGACTTCAATTCTTCAAAAAACAACCAATGATAGGGTAGCATCCCCAATTTCTTATCGCTCTGGGTGGTCAGGATTATGAACTTTTTACTTCTTCATTATGTTTTTAAGGGGAAAAATATCACACCTAGGCTCGAAGAGTTAGCATAATTGATGTTCCAAAATGCAACAGGAAAAAATCACGGAATCGGCATTAAAGGCACCAAATTTCATTTTTAGATAACTGTAAAGAGATCTTCACCCTTGAACATGGAATTCCCAGTAGGCCTCGCGTGTGACTGGAGTATAAGTGATAGGACCATCGATGTAGGACTCATCAAAACCACCGAGCATCAGTTCGCCGCCAACAATATCGTTTTCGTCTCTGGGTAAACAGACATATTTATTAAAAACCAACCAGATCTGATTAAACCATCCATCCAAAAATAGACAAACAATGCGTAGTAGCAAGAGATTCCTATCTGTAATCCAGTGAGCACTGGACTGCACGGCAAGCTTACCTGTCTAGATAGAAGGCAAATATGGGCTCAGAGATAAGGTTCCTGCGGACAAGGTTATAGAAAACGGGCTCAACATTATCCACAGAGATGGACCTAAAGCCCATTCCCAAGATACCATCGAATTTGGCCATCATGAATACGATTCCAGGTTGCTTGGTAGCCTCTGCAAAAGTCTGATCTGGTGCTTGAATGTCGGATAACTGTGGTAAGCAGGTAGAAATACCAAATTGGAATGAAATGTCGAAAAGTAAGTCTTGAGTATGCAAGATACCTTGATAGTATCCGTGCTGAGAAAGCCAGTAAGACTACCGGTTCCGTACTGAATCGAGAAATCTGTACCATTTGCTTTATATGTGGTTGACCTTCTACTGTCGTACTTGTGGTGCACCCAGCAAGCAATGTCGAACCAGCTACACTTCTTCGATGGAACCCAAAGATTTGAAGAACCAGTATCGAAAACAACCATGAATTTCTGACCAGGAGTTCCCAGTTCAATCTCGCCATAATATTGTGCCTGAATGAAGAGATATAGCAGGTGTTATGCGCATTAGGAGCAAGAAGGTAGGCATCAGCCACCAAAATATGTAGATAAATCACCTTTAGTGAAGGGTTGTATATTATATTACGTACATGTGTTTTCTAAATAAGTATTCCAAGAAACCCGGACAAAAATATTACAAATAGCGCCTCCATCCAAAAGTGGTCAAGGAATAAAGATAGGGGTTCCTCGTACTCAAGAACTTAACGCTAAAGATTCAGAAGTAGTACTAATTTTGCCACATAAGTTTAAGCATCGTGACGTAGTTGCGTAAGTATTTGTCATCAGATAAGAGTCAAAAATTACGTCAAGATAGTTTTCCAGTGGCTCTGGATGCAGTCCACTCAAACCACAAGCCACACTCCACCGATTTCTAGTAAGTTTCACAGATTCCTGGATATCGGAAAACGACCTGGGTCCCTTGTTAACGGGAAGTAGTTGAATTCTAAGCCTGTTTTTTCCAACATCATAACCTACCTCGCTACCCTCCCACAAAAAGCAGCACCCAGTACAAGCACAAGAAAACAGAGCAGCCTCATAGCGAATAGCCCGAGTTATGCAGGGTGGAGAGATTGACCAACCAGAAGGCAAAAAAGCGTTGAACAAAAAAAAGGAAGAAAAGGGAATTAATATTGCAGCTTCAATTGACTATATGCTTCTTAGGGCACTTCGTTTAGAGAAACCACAATCAAAGGGTGACAACCCCAAGTTCCAATTAGGTTTTCTAAAGTAGGACAAGACGAACTAAAGTTGAATTTGAAAATCATTATTTAAGTAAAAAGAAATGTTCACTTATACTATGACATTGTTTAATCTCCAGATTCTTTAGTTTAAGTAAAGACACAAATTGATATCGTGCACATCACTAGTGCAGCTGCAAAAAATCAGCGCATTATGAGATTGTGGAAGAGACATTTTCATGAAGACACTTTTGGAAAATTTTTACTTTGATGTCGATCAAAACTTGCAACTCTTCGCGAAAGCACTTATATTAAGTTAGTTTGAAAGGGTGCCAAGAAAGAGGAAGTAAAATGAGTTTGTAAACAGATACTAAAGAAAAAATACGTTGAGTTTTGACTCTTTCTCTCAATCAAAAAAGTGCCTTTACTTACCCTTAAAATTATAATACGTTTCACAGAAAAATCTTTGATTGACCAACTCTGCTGTTGGGGTTTTTTGACGCCAACTTATGTTTGTTCAAGCCATTCAATCCACACACGTAAATAACCTTGCGCGTCGTCCAAGAGTGCTGGCCACGCGATAATTTGTAAAGACGCATTTATTCTTGTTTAATCACAAGCTTCGCATGACATTTTGACTGCCCTAAGTACCCAAGGATAGTAGTTGCGTGATGCTTCTGTCAACGCTCAATATCTCTCGTTGGAAAAACATTTTTTGACTTCTTGAAACTTCAACCATTCTAAATGGAAAACACAGCATCGCATCCTGGAATTAGCAGTTCATCAAGTGAAGGAAGCACTTTTAATTCTGGTAGATACATTATTTTGATCTACTTTGTGTACTTTTTGCACGTCGTTGTTGTGTATTTATGACTTAATTTGTTTCTGGTTGATACTAATAGTCTAAAGTCTGAGTAACTTGCCCCAAATTTGCGCCTTCTTGAGTTTGTTTATTTGTTAGTTTTTTGCAAATTCTTTTTATTTGCTTTTAAAGTAACTGTAAACTTTAGTTTCTAGTTGCTGAATTTTAGGATAAATGTAAAAATTTAAGAAAAATAATTCATCCTGGAAAAAAAGCATAGTATTTTAAACTTTTGGGAATTTTTATAAGCTTTGTGACCGTACTTAGCCCGTTAAGTGTTTTTTGTCGTTGTATGTAGTGATAAAAGCGGAATTGCCATGCTTAGTCAGAAATTTTGCATTCAATAAAAATAAATAAGGCTTCAGCATCAGGAAGCCTAGTCTTGCTTATATTTTGTAAAAACCACATATTTGGGTAAAAATTTAATTGAATTTATCTAATCTGATCTCCAGTTATCAGATAAGTATATACTGTGTATTTGATGCATCTGTAATTTTAAAGGCACAAAAATCTTCCCACAAGTAAACGCATTAGTCTTTTCATTAATAAAAGCACCTATAATATGCATTGTAATTCTTTAAATTTATCCTAGAAGCAAACACTGATATTACTAGCATATCTTTAAGCCTAATGTCAATTTGAGGGAAATGTATTCCATTTTGTACCCCAGAGTCTAAATTATGCCAATTTTAACGACGCCGTATTTAATTTAGAAACACAAAACTTACGTAAAGCATGCACATTTTAAGAAACCTTAGCTCTGTATTTTTCCTAAATGCTACCTGCGTGGGTTTAGGTCCAGCTAACTTTTCGTATCTAGCATTCAAATTCCAGAAGATTCTTTTCTATCGAATCACTTAAATAAAAATTGAGCCTGTTAGTAATGAATATCAGCTTATCCAATTTTTGTACGTATTCTGTAAATTCCGAAGGCCCTCATAATGATATGCCTCTACAGATATAAAGACAAAACTTACACTTAGTCAAGCCAAGGATTTACGTTATTCTCAATCTTATTTTCAGCCGATTGTGACACTGGCGCACAAGATATGTTCAGGGATTCCTTGTCCCTAAATGAACTCCGGAAAGCCTATCCTGAACTCTATCAATTCATTTGTCAGACGGATCCCACCTTCGGAGCCGCTGATCTCGAAGAAGCCAAAGAAGAAGTCTCCCGGTCGAAATTGGGCAAGGGTCTAAAAGACCAGGACTTTGACCATGGTTTTGATGTTTCTCAGCTTTTAAAGGAGTCGAATTCAGTCACTTCTCTCTTGACCATACGAAAAGCCATGTCTTCGATTTTTGAGTGCTTAAACACTGTACATGTCCAGAAGACCCTGAAACTACGCCTTGAAATACGGGACCTGTGCTCCCGTCTTCAGAGTCTGCAGGTGTGTTCAGCTATTTCGTTTTTAAAAGCGCGCTTGCTTTTAAATTCACAAGCATTTAAAAATTATTTAAATGTTTCTTCCCATATATTTGATCTTTTTCCTTTTGCTGCATATTTCCTCTCCTTAAGTGAAGGCCTGGTTAGGTTAGTTTCCATGTGCATTTCGCTACTTAGTAGCATTAGTGGCAAAAGCGCGCAATTCTGTCATATTTTTACTACGTTACCTGTGTAGTTGATTGGTCTCCTTCAGGCTCTCTGATTAAAGTTTTATAAACGCATCTGCTAAATATGGTATTATATAGTCCTTACACTCCGATAGGAGCCACTGCACTTTGCTATGCCATTCTGAAAGTGTAGTTGTCTTTTATTCAACGAAAAAATATTCGGTTTGGTGCATTTTTTTACTGATCTGTCGAAAACCTGCTTGATAAACCAGGAATAAACGCATCTACTACAGCAAGATACGCGACATCGTATTCATATCAAATTATACCATTTTGTTTTGCACATTTTAATATCAGAACACGCTTCCGAAGTATAGGTAGAAACACTATTAATTTACCTCCCGCGTATTTTTTGAAATATGCGAACGAATTTGGGGTTTTTGTGAAGAAATAAAATGAATTAAGTAATCAAATTTTAAATACTTGAGCAACTGATTCAGTAACTAGTTTTAATGAGCAGGTAGAAAATGATTTAGTGATTTTTTAAATACCTTCAACAAGGACTTTTACTAAACAGAGCATAATTGCTCAACCTTCCATAAGTGATTTTGATGAAATATTTGCTAAACTCGCTCAACTGTATGTGGCACCTGATGTTCAGTATTTTTGCTTCACATCCACCCGACCGTAGACGAGCCGCGAGACGGACCAACGTGAGATCTACCGACTGCAGCGTGAGAACGATAGATGTCGCAGGGAGTTGGCGCAGCAGGCTTCACGCTACGAGGATCGCATCACCGAGTTGCATGGCGTTCTGGAGGAGTTGAAACGCAAGGCCTCGGAGATGCAGAACTCCAACTCAACCAACAACGCCACCGTTGATGTAAACGACCTGGTCGAGGTCAGCGACAGTGACGGCGAGACCGACGCACCCGATGCGGAGGCTGCCTGCACATTATCCGAATTCTCTGCACCTGAGTCCGTATTACACCCGTCTATCGGCCTGGAGGACAGATCTAAGCCTCTGGTAGATCTCATTCAACTTTTGTTCAAAATACTTTTCCTTCATGCAAAGCTACTTCCCTGACACTTATAAAGATCGGATGGGACGAAAAGGCCTCACTCTTTGCCCGTTGTCCCCAAGTTTCATGTGGTTCAGCAACCTTTTCCATAAAGGTAAAATAAATTGCCTATAAATTTTGGCACCCATGGATCCATATTAGGCTGACTGAAAAAGCACTTTGTTGTACTTTTGAATTCTTATGGCGCTATGTCCAGTTGAATAGCTTCAAACCAAGGAGGATTTATTTTTTCCTAAAGGCACAGAATGTGACTTCAGTGTATACTGGGTGACCAGTTTAGCTGTTTGTTTGTTACCACTTTATCTGCTGTAAAGCTACAAAAGAGAGCCCCAGCACGTGGCGGCCTGATTGATCAAAGCGTTTGCATGAAGGGGCCCTGTAATTGTGCATCTGTAATTGTGTGCGACCGATTAATCATCATACAGCCCGATGCACATGCAAATACGAGTCGTTGTGAGTTTTTTACCGGCTTACTCGTCCTTTTTCCTTCCTCGTTTTTCATCTTATGCCTTTTTGAAAATCCACACCATCACCTCCATCTCCACTACCACTACTACTACTTCCCAACATCCACTACCTGCCTTTTCTCTCAGCCTTGTTCGTGGCGGTTTATTGCTTACTGCTATAGTCGTTGTAAGATGCAATCAACCAACAGAGAAAGAATTTGTCTTTTAACCCTTTCTTTTGTGACTATTTTGCAAAAATGACTTATTTCCCCCTCAAGATTTGGAGCTCTGAAAAGCAGTTGTTGGTTAAATCTTATAATTGGATACGATGCTATAAATTATCCTTCATTTCCACGAAGAACTTGTGCCCTGTCAAAAAAAACCTTTCTAAACATGGATTGGTAACTTATTTTATCCAAACCTAGTGTATGAGCACTTTATGAATAAAGGCGAGATTATGTTCATTTTAGGCAAATCCAGGATGGAGGAAGTCCTGTTTGTAGGGTTGAACCTCTTCCTTTTTAGTTCTTACGCAATAAACTTTATTTTATGTCACCAGTATCAGCCCTGCCCACTTTCCATGTTCTGGCTACGTAAATAGGCGCTAATGGGGTTCAATTTATAACAGAATGGGTTGCCTAAAAATTGCACGATTTTCCCTCATCCTTTGAAGAAATTGAATGCACTTACGAGTGGTCGTCAGGAGAATTCTCACGCTTATTATCCCAAAGGGCAACTAAGTACATTGTCATAAAAGTACTCCTACTTGAAATAGTGCTTTAAATCAACAGGTCTTACCTATGTGCTTGATCATTTTTTCGGAAAAGTTCATCCTCTGTCCAAAAAACTGTTAGACTCGCACATTTGTTCGCTTATTTCCATCTCTCCTTGTTTTTTCAAGTTGGTACTTAACAACTTCTAACAGCAATAGCCATTGTGCGCTGACATTGGTGTTGTGAAGGCACAATTTTCGGGGTCATAGTATCAAGGGTTCTCGATAATCACGTGGTTTACTGTTTCGATTATCGTTCAAAACATCGGACTGGATTGTTTCCTGTTATTATTCCCACAAAATAGTCTGCAATTTAAATTAATTGTCCCTTATAAAGCGGAACTTTAACTACATATTATGATGTATGGATTTAGGGGCTCTATCCTCAACAAATAGAGAAAATCACGAAAATAATCAGCGCGAGGATGTCATCGTAGTGAGGCTTGAAGACAGAGGGGAGAATAAATGGGGGTAGTAATTCTCATATTGTGTTTAAAGGGATATTTTTTCGTTGTTAGTGTTCACAGCTTGCCAGAAGGAATGCTTCTGAAGTATCAAAACAGTGATCAGAGGGACAGTATTCCCATGGAGGTGGCTGAAAGCGATTTCGGTGAAGTCTGACCGTGGCGGTGGGGCAAGGTGAGGGGATGGCGGAGAAGGAAGGCCTGGAGTAGGTGAGCCGGTGTGGGGGTAGGGAGACGAAAGGGTGAGAAGAGAAAGGGGGAAGGGTGTGGTGTTTATGAGTGAGCGCACACTCGCTAACCCACTTATTCACGTGTCTGCGCTTGTGTGCACCCGTGCGCTGCAGCATCAAAGGAGGTGCCGGTATGCGCCCTGGTCCGATCTCACCTAACAGCCACCACCACCGCCACCAGACAGGGGAAAAGGTGTTGTCCAGACTCTGTGAAAAACTGATGTAGTGACGCTTAACAAGAAGGACGCACTATGTTAGCATACCACGCTTTCGTGACCGGTGCGCGAGTGGCGGATAGGAGAGCCGTAGTAAACATGTTGACACTTAATTCTCGATGTTTTCATGACGATTTTGATGTTGAGTGCAGGCATTATTCATCTAAGTAACTGCCACGATGTGAAACAAAAATAGATAGACAAAAAAACTTATCAAGTTTTTAATGCACCCTAAAATTTCCACGTGTTGAATTTCTAACCAGTACTAGTTGTCATAATGATGCTAGTCAGTTTCAGTTTTTGGTACAATCCAAACCTTTACCCCTTGAGCATATTTATGTGTCGCTGGAATGACAAATGTGTTTTTGGTGGCTGATGAATGGAATTTAATGTGGAAAAACGGAATGGTCTATTGTTATTTTGCCTCACTCACTGTAAGGTTCTTTGTGATCATCCACCGCTAGGTAGCTAGTAATTAGGGCGGCTATTAAAGATCTCAAACCCGTTTCTGCTAACATTCTTTCTCCTCCGCCTCCATATCCTCCTTCTCTTTTTTTCTTGCCCCTTTTGCCTCTTGATATACGATTTTCGCAGGTGTTTTGCATAAATCTTTCATTAATCTTCCGTCCATTCATCCACATTGTTATTTGGCATTCCAGTTCCGGTGTACTTGTGTCCTCCTATCCATGGAGCACTTCGCTATCTACTAAGTGTACTTTGCAAAGGCCTACAAATTCTCCCATTTTCGCTTATTAAGCTTTTATTCTTCATCCACCAAAACACATCATGAATTTGGCACAGGCTCGGTGAGTATTCCACGGTATACTCGCGCTAGGCTGCGATCAAATCGGTCAAAGTAACTCCTTCATTTAAAGTGAAATTTCCCATCTGACAAGTTGAGAATCTCTTCTCCTTCGTAGAAATTACCTTAAGAGGTTGATTCTATATTCATCCTCCTTCACCTGCATGATCTAGCAAGTCGCTTATTTTGCATTTAGTCCGGAAATCTTTGATGAGCAGATGTTGCACTCTCCTTCCGTCCACTTTGGTCCAGAGTGAACGACCAGGTGGTCAAATGGAGTTACCGAAATTTATTGTAACTGTATTTAAACTAGACCGAATTAGTCTGGTGTTCGTGGCATGAGTGTATCAAGGAGCCGTAAATGAAACAGATGTTAATGAAGCCAAACTACAACATTATTTAAGAGGAACTTGGGTTCCTGTTTTTGCTGCTCGCTAGTGTAAAAGTAATTGATCTTATCGAATTGCTTTCGAGGACAAAGAAAAGTGTAGTAGATAAATGGGAAGAAAGGCACTTCCACGTATGATGATGCGCAGTTGCGATCACTCTGAGGCCGCATGGGTGCTGGTTGTGATGGGCATAAGCTGGGTCGTCGCGACTAGACACAGAAGCTTGCTTGTTGCATGCACGCACGTAAACGTGTGTATACAAGCTTATGCAAATGCGCACAGGCACAATGCCACCACACATACCTGATGATTGTTTGACTTTGGCCAGAAAGTGGCAGGAGTGCTGGTGGTGGCGGTGGTGGTAGTTGTATTGGGCATGGAAAAAGAGGAGTGGATCGTGACATTTCCGATAACGATTACCGCGCCTCAGACAAATGCAAGTGTAAACACTCGAATAAATCACACAAGCATCCATCCGCCTCCTCCTCCGGACCTAATGGCGTGCATCGGGCGTATGCTCGACATTTCTCCCCAATGGACAGGCTATTGCGCAATCGTAGAGGCTAAAGGGCGTTTCGAAGAGTGGAAAGATTAGCGGTGGACATCGTATTACCGTCGTACCCCAATTTCCCTCCCCCTTTCCCCACTCTGCTCATTGCTCTTCTCAATCCCCGCGTTTTCTACTGCCACGTGGTTGGTCCGTGGAATGAAATTGTAAAGTAGGACCTGGTAAATAAAAAAGTAATGAATCTGAACAATTATTTTCTGACAAGGTGCCTAATATGTTACACATTCAGCGGAATCACAGGTTTTCCAGTTTAATCTTAGTATATATTTCCACACTTCTTAGGCATCAGTAGAAAAATGCATTTGCCATGTACCTGACATTTATGGTGGATGTGCAAAAAACTTGAAAATTTACACAATTTTTTTCTCCTGAAGTTAAATAAGAAACT